GTTTATGATGTAGATGGTAAACATTAAAGCACGCAAGATATTACAATAAAATATGTCTCACAGAAAAATCTCTTATTATTTTAAAATCTATCCTTTCGTTTTGCTTTTTAATTTTTTTCGAGAGTACCTAAAATATTCCTATAAGTGCTTTACTGGTCCTCTTTTCTTTAATTTGATGATAGCAAGCAGTTACATTTTCTCATAATTTTATATATACTCCTTACTCTTCTTTTGTTGTTCACAAAAATGTATCCTCATTCATGATGAATTGCGGTTTTGCCCTCTATTATCGCTCATCAAATTCTTTAGCCACATTTAAACCTTGAGAATTCAATGCATAATAAGACTAATTTAAACAATTCGCCGCAATGCCACGAGTGCTCTAGATTCACATGGCCTTTTCTCCTATGACCTTCTTTGATGGGATTTTCGATGAATCAAGGTTGTATTTGTTATAGCACTCGACTAAATAACTTATTATAGCAAGCAAGTCAGTGTGCTAAAATTAACCTTATCATTGGTTTCTTAGAGAACAAATTCTCTATTACATGCAATGTCAACTTAATTTAAATACGAGATTTAAACATCTACATTCTTTATAAATATTTTGAATTTCATCACGTTTTTTATATTATGGAAATCAAATACTGTCAATAGTTCATACATATTCTATTTAAAACATGTATGACTTGCATATGTTGTAATTAAAATCTACAGAAATATTGGTATTATAGACTTCTCTTTGATTTATTTTTCAAATGCTACATTTTTATAATAGTAGATATTGTAAATGCTTATGGGAAATAAACTTATCAACGACATTTGCTTTGACCGGAGTATATATTCAAATATGGTGTCTAATTACATAAATAAAGTGAACTAACACTTTTGAATGGCATAGATTAATATAAGCTTTTTAGTAAATAAAATAAGCAACAGTTAAATGCCATGCTTAGCTCAAATAAGGTAGATTTAAATGATAACTATAAATTTATTAAACCTGTTTTTAAAAGTTATTTGTGTAAGATTCCAGATTTGCAATTTAATCAGTTATTTTAAGCTACGAAAAAATAACAAATGCAATTAGATAAAATTATAAATAAAATAAAATAGATGCCACAATAAGCCAAGAATTTCATTCAAATTAGCATAATTATTTTGGTCAATGTATTAACTTTAAGCCTCTAGGAAAACTATATGAGCTTTACTCTAATATCGAACTTACTATTCATTTCTAGTATCTATAATTAATCAGGCGCCCTCTTAATAGATATAAAATAATTTCTGACATATAATATCGCTTTAAAATATCTATTTTAATCTTAGAAATTAATGTTGGAAATATCATATATCTTGTTTAAATCCTACTTTTTAATTCTAAATATTTTTTTTCATTTAAGTTTTAAAATCGTGATTAAGACGATAAAAATACTTTTATTGAGATTATTATTTGCAACAAGTATTTTATAGAGCCATTAAACTTAATTGCGTTTCGACATCCTTACATTATACCCTTATCTTATTTATTTATATTAGTTTAGTATATCACAGTACAGAATTCATATTTGTGATCATTGCAATATTATATTTATTAAAATAATTATTTCCTACCGTTTTTCTGATATTCCAATAATCGTGTATTAACCTTTGGCAGCCATCGACTCCCTTTAGGAAAAGCGATACCATATCCTGTCATGGCGTATAGATTCCCAACAGTACGCAATTTACAATTCTCGTCTCGTGCTGCCCAATATTCGAGTACATTTCCATCATAAAGAAATGCATCAATCTCTCTGTTGTCCAACCAAGCGTTACAATGAAAGAAAGAATTAACATGGAATAATTCGTTGTCATAAGCAAATAACGTTCTAGATATTTTATAAAATAAATTTTCTCTTAATTCTTATGGTTTTTTTAAAAAATTAAAAAGAAATATAATTTAATAATTTAG